AGCAGTGGCAAGGACAATGATCACTGGCAAACAATTTTTTCTACTCCAATGAAAATAAAACCATTCTATTTACTCCCAGAAAAGCTCAGGAGGAGCTGATAATCTAACCCAATGCATTCCTCGTTGATCTACCAGGCACGGGAAGAAAACTTACAATAGGGAAACCAAGCCTGGAACATTCAAGATGATCTTTCTAGCCTGAATGCCTACATCCCTATCTGGGAACTGTGAGGGAAACAGAAGTAGGCATAGCAGGAATCTGCGCATCAGTTACAAGATCCCATCTGCCTTCCCAGTTTCTGATACTTATACATGGCTTTGTTCTCAATGGTGCGAGGCTCCTGCAGCTCACATTGACTTCACATTGGAATTAGGAGCACTGAACACCTCTGAAAATCAGGCTAACAGTTTTCTTAGTTCACTAGTTCCAGGATGCCTGTGTCTATGCTGATCCAGGTCGTGCTTGACCTAACATAGCTGGGATGGCCATGGGTAAGGAGAATGCTGCTACATTGTGGGAAGGAAGCAGCCGTGCTTCTAGACCCTGTGCCAAAATCTCAGCCTCCCTCACCAGATATGCTGAGAATGGGCACAAAGGGAAGGCAAGCAACTAGGCCAGCAGTTAACTGGTAGTGCTCGGCCCTACAGAAGTAAAGGATTTGTTTCCAGATCACTGAATTCCCTGCTCCCATTGCACCTAAGATACTTCAAACCAAGCTACCCAGCTCCTACGTGTGGTCACCCAGCTGTGCCAAGTCTTTCAATAGCAAACTAATTTCCAGTGGAATAAGGACCACCAAGTTTATCAGGCACCACCATGCTAAGGAGGATTTGACAATAAGGCACTGGCTGTAGCATAGTGCCCCTAGTCATGAGGGGTCCATGGCCTCGCACGTGAGGGAAGGGAGTCAGAGCTAGGGACCGTTCCTGCATGGTTACTGTGTTCTGCTGTCCCCTCGCTCTGCACAATATCCACAATGGCAGCTTCCACCTCCTTGTAGACCGGGGGCAGCATTCTGATAACGTTAGGGAATATTTCTTCATTCCGTACATGTCCCAGAATGGCAGCTTCTAGTTTCTTAATGTCCTGGTAATCGGTGCAATTGACGGAAATCAGATCTAAAATCTGCAACGAGAAAGTTCTAGCGTAAGTAGTTTCTATGGGGCACTCAGAAGTATGGGTGTAGAGGGGAGATTTGGTTGTACCTAGCACACTTCATATTTAAGGCATATGACCTTCTGCATTTAAACAGAGTTTCAGGCACTGAACCTGCTATAGGGGCGACTTCAACCTTCTGGCCAGTAACTGTGACTCTACAGCAGGGATGAGCAATTATTTTGGGCAGAGGGCCGCTTACTGAGTTTCAGCAAGCCATCGAGGGCTGCACGACAGGCAGCCCAGGGCAGATTAATATTAATTTTCAAAATTTTTTAGGGGCCCCATGGGCCAGAGAGAATGGCCTGGCAGGCCACATCAGGCCCCCGGGCCGCATTTTACCCACCCCTGCTCTACAATCACACTTCCCTCCCTCCACCCACCTTGTTTCTCTCTCTTTCATTGCTGAGACCCACGTAAACAGGGAAAACTGACCAGTTGTTAGTAGCAAACTGACAAAAAGTTTTTCAACATGAAACATTCAAAATAATAAATAAAAAGATATTTTTAACAGGGACAAAAGGATTACAAACATGCTTTTCCCATGTGGGTTTGTGGGTCGCATTAAAATACAATGGGGCAGAAACCGCACAGGGAAAAAACACAAGAGCCAGAGCTAAAACAGGCCATGCATAATGCGAGGCATGCTCTGTCTACAGTTCAGCAAATTAGGCTTCCTTGATGGTTTACTCATATAGCATGTACAAAAAGAAGGATCCTAGCTAGTGGCTGACCAAAGCCAAGTAGTGAGGGTGGCCATTAGTCCTGTTTTATACCAGACCATCCTGTTTTTAAACCCTATGTCCCCTGTCTGTTTCTTAATGAGAAACAGACTGCAAAATGCCCTGTTTTTCAGTTCATTGGTGGAAATACATGTTAATCATTTGTGCTCATGATGCTATTGGCTGTGCCTAGAGGTAGAGCAGTGCATAGCCAGGAGAAGCGGGGTTCAGAGCCAGCCAGGGAGGGAAGGAGGTGGCTTTTTGAAGTGATTCATAGATAGATGTTAGGGTCAGAAGGGAACTCAATAGATCATCGAGTCCGACCCCCTGCATAGGCAAGAAAGAGTGCTGGGTCTAGATGACCCCAGCTAGATGGTTATCTAACCTCCTCTTGAAGACCCCCAGGGTAGGGGAGAGCACCAACTCCCTTGGGAGCCCGTTCCAGACCTTGGCCACTCGAACTGTGAAGAAGTTCTTCCTAATGTCCAATCTAAATCTGCTCTCTGCTAGCTTGTGGCCATTATTTCTTGTAACCCCCGGGGGCACCTTGGTGAATAAAACCTCACCAATTCCCTTCTGTGCCCCCGTGATGAACTTACAGGCAGCCATAAGGTCGCCTCTCAACCTTCTCTTGCGGAAGCTGAATAGATCCAGTTTCTCTAGTCTCTCCTCGTA